AATCTGCTCTGCGACAAAGTGATTCATGAATTATATATAAGCATAGATTGGCTTTCATGACGACGAGGATACATGATAGCGCGTGTGTGAGCTAGTGCACTCAATGTCACAATGAACGCCGATATTGATGTAGCATGTTTGCTCAACGTATTTGAGAATCCTATTTCACTTTCAAGCACCACTTGTCATCGCTAGATGAAAAATGATAACTCAATGTTCCACTAAAGCATGCTTCGATGCTGATGGGAACTCCATGCAACCCGACAAGCGAAAACAAAATACACAATTTCAAGATATAAGGTATTTATTCCTCTTGGAAGCACTCTTGCACTAACGTTTACCGATAGCAGCCGGAGAAGTTCGCTTCTGCTGAAATTGCTCTGGTTCGGTACTAAACGAGTAAGTACCTACTTGTTCTGGTTTCTTTTCCGGGAATGTGTCTGGCAAATCACGATCCGTACTCCATCATTTGCTGCATTCTTGTACCTACTCCATCGAGAGGAACCCTCATCTGTAGTCAGTGCCAGTAGAAAGAGAGATAACTTTGTGAACTAGTTTTTCCATGACGGGCTGGCTGACTTTTAGTCGGTGAATGGGTAAGAAGATAGAGCCCAGAGCTGTAAGTGATGTAGAACCAGAGAAGGATTAGAGTAACATAGAAAATTGCTTCTGTTAACTACTTGACCGTAAATTCGCATTTTTTGTTGAATTCGTAGTCTGTCAGTGAATGTTGTTTTGGTAAGTTTTCATCCAGTTGGTGAACTTTCTCGAACCAGACGAAATCACTGTTGTTGTTGTTGTTGTTGCTAGTCAGTTGTAAATTTTCTCTGACAATGGAAACACATAATCTTTAATTTGACTTGTCATCTAAATTTGGACGAAAAAGCAACGAAAGGTCTGTAGGATTACCTGAACCGCGGATAGCTCTGGAGAGGGAATGGCGATGAATAGCTCTTACATCGACTTCGGCGGCTCAATGGCAGTTAGAGTTAAGGTTTGGTACACGCAGCAAGCCCAATCATTAGTTCAAAGGTACTGATAATGACGGTAGGAAACATTGGCACTTCTCTTTAAGGCCGTTCGCAATGCTGTTGTATTTTATAAGGACTGTTTCAATTTGAAACTAGAACAGAAACTCACCTCTCGCAATGCTGAGTTGCAGTTTCATTATTCGAGCACTATTTTGCACCAGATTTGCAACTGCTCGACTATTCTGTTTTATTTCTGAGCGAGTTTGAAACACGAATGGAACTCTGTTTCAAATTTCTTTGGATGTGTTGAAGATGTTTCGAAGAGCTTCACAAACAAAAAACGGAGAGCTTCATAGAGGACAGTAAAGTTTATGAAACTTGATGATTACAAACAGCTTTTAGAACTGTGCGTTGCGCTGATCGTGTTGCAGTTTTATTTTTGACAGTTTCAAATTATAGAATTGACGAGTAGTTTAAAACAATCTTGAAACTCAGCATTGCGAACGGCCTAAGTGGGGCTAATTGCAATTAAAATCCATTTTGCTGATGAAAACACTAACTATACAGCATTACATTTATTCTTCTTAACACTAACAAAAATGGCTTAAATCTAAATGGGCTTGGTGACTGTTCGTGCGTTGAACTGACTTTTCGGACACAACACTTAATCTCGCATTTACAACACGGAACATAGTATTTTAATAAGACTATAAAACACGAACACAAAACGATAATTTATTTACGACAGACTAAAAACGCGCTCTAAGTCTATATAACGCCGAGGGGTACGACACATCTAAAATGGCATGTAAATAACAGACAAAATGAACCTCGTTTTTTAGATCAGTGTTCTTTTGTCAGATTTCACATCCTATCTTATCCTCCTATCTTTTAAGATTGAAGTCGATTTTTAAGTTGGATGGCAGAACAGCGGAAATTCTCCATACATTCGAGTGGGAGTACGTAGAGAAAAATTATCAGTGTACAAAAATCATAGGGGAGTTGTACGTTTAAGATGACGTGTTATTTTATCGTATAGTGATATTATCCCAAATAAAACTTCTATGGTTAATTTGCTTAACGACGTGTTCGGGGTATCATCCAAACCAGTTGTGAGATAGTTCTACTGTCCGCGTTACCGGTTGCTTACTACGCTTTGATTCCTTCTCGATAAATATTAGATGTTACATCCACGCATAGTCTCGTTTACGTTCAACTTCGACTACGATGAGGTTGTTATTGAACAAAGAAATTTTCAACCTAGAAGGTTTTTTTAAATGCAGAAATACGTTTTTAAAAAAATTGCCACTCATGATATTCGTGTATCATGAGGTATATTGTTCTAATTACGACCTATTTAGTATTTGATTTGCTAAAATTATCTACACATGAAAAGCTCAAATGTTTGAAATCATAATTGTTTCATAACTTTATCACTTGAACAGAAAAAAACTTCGATGAAATCTGATGGAGAAAAATGTGATGCAAAATGTAAACAAACAACATGGCTTGCTGCTTTTTTACGTTCGGCTATTGGTTCATTCACGAGAAGATGCGAGCGATGTGAAGAAAGATGAAAGATGCGAGTGTCGATGGGAGTAGATGTCACAGATGGATACAGATAGTGCACAGTGATTACATAAATAAAGGCTAAGTATGATTAATGATAAAATGGAGATAATCGCGGAGGTTTATTTTACTCTAATCTGGATGAACAATAGAAAAGGGCCCATCAGCATTTGTAAACAAACCGTTCCTAAGCCCTTTACTCACAAAGCGAAGGCCACCCACGCAAACCAACACCATCATCGGATAGGGGAAACTTCCACCTACACGATGATGGTGTTGGTTTGTGTGGGCAGCCTTCGATTTGTGATCAATTGGCTTTGGAACGGTTTGTTTACAAATGCTGATGGGGCCTTTTCTATTGTTGATCCAGTAATGATCTACTGCTCTATGTACTACACACAGTGATGCCACATTTTTTTCGATTTTCAATCTGTATTTTCATCGCAAAAAATCTTTTTAATCTGTATCTGACTGACAAAAATCTGTAACATTTCTTTATTGTGGTCTTAGTGCAGCTTTACGTAAACCTCCATTGAGTTAATTCATAGTTCAGAAGGACTTTGTTCAAAGTTTAGAATCTTGAAAAATTACTAATGTTTGCTTTCTAAAGAATTTTTCGATTTGAAAAATCTCGAAATCCTACAATATATTTTTTAAGTGATGTGTATCTTTTCTACAGATTGAAAATACAAAACATTAAGTTCCTGTTGTGAGAGGCGAATCTATTTCCGGCTGAAGATTTTCTTAATGAAGTAACTATCCTAATTTTCTAGAATTTTATTTTTTGTATGTCTATAATTATGAAACCTTTATCTGGACATTTGTTATTATGAAAAAGAAACGCCTTTCGTAGCTGGTCGTTTGAATCAGCTCAAACTAGAAATTAATTAATTTTATTAGGTAAGAAAATTAGATAACTAACGCATATTAACAGATTTAGTTTCTGCTCCTGTTCTGCGAAAAATTCGCTCCGGACGTACAATTACTTCTGCCTCTGCTTTCTGCTGCGCAAGTAAGGTTTGTAGGTAAATTGTCAAGTCAAGACAATGACTGACCAAAAACAATTACTGTTTCCGCCTTCGTTGAACTGTCAGCAAAAGGTGAACCAGTGTCGGTGTTGGTGCCTAGTGGTTTCAACACTTCCCCTTTCTGGTCAGATTTACCCGATGACATAATCTCGATGACTGTAAGTCTAGCCACTGGTCGCCGATACAATCCACCGGCAGTGCGGACCACTGCTTGCCTGATACGACCATTCTTGCCTGCGACGACTTGATCGACTTGTCCACGAACCCAACCGTTGCGATTCTGATCGTCCGTGATGAAAACTAAGTCGCCTGTTTTCAGTGGCTTCGAGTCTTCCAGCCACTTGGTATTCATGTTCAACGACGGTACATATTCCTTCAGCCAGCGCTTCCACAGTTCGTCTGCCACGTATTGGGACCGATTATATGTGCTCCGAAGCGCCTCTGTATGATCCGTTGGTCCGATGTAAGGCTCTTTCAGATCGGAGGCATACCCACGCAAGAAATGATTGGGCTTGAGTACCTCGGCGTCCGACGACTGCTGTGGCACATAGACTAATGGTCTGCAATGGACGATTTCTTCGGCCTCGGCAATAACCGACAAGATAATCTCGTCGTTCATTCTGTGACCCACGTTCAAAGTTACCATGGTCGTCTTCACAGTCCGCATCATGCGCTCCCATATTCCTCCCATGTGGGGAGCCGATGGAGGGTTGAACCGCCAACGCGTCCTGGCATTGGTGAAGACATTGGCACAAGCTGTCCCGATCCGAGGAATCTGCTCCTGGAGTTCTTTGTTGGCTGCCTTCAGGATAGTCCCATTATCCGAGAAGATGGCAATTGGCGGACCCCTTCGCAGGACGAATCTTCGGATAGCCACGATGCACGAGTCAGCATTCAGTTTGTAGGCTACTTCTAAGTGCACTGCTCTGACCGTCAGACACGTAAACAGCACTCTCCACCTCTTTTCGGCGCGACGTCCAACAGTCACCCCCACTGGTCCGAAGTAGTCAATACCTACGTGGCTGAACGGTTTCAGGAAGGGTGTGACAAGTTCAACTGGTGGAGGTGCCATTGTTGGTACTTGTGCTCGACTCTTGTTGACTTTGCACCATTGGCAGTTTTTCATCATCCGCTTCACGCCGGTTCGCAGCTTGGAGATGTAGAAACGTTGGCGAACTTCGTTGAATACTGTTTCCCTGTTGGCATGTCCGTACCGCCGATGGTAATGAGCGGTGATTCCGTGGTCTCGTGGTTGGATGATGGGGAATCTTGTATCATACGGAATAAAATCAGCAAGTTTCGTTCTGCCGTCCATCCGCAACACGTCGCACTCGTCCAGGAACGGTTTGCAGCGATAGATGTCACTATTTTTCTCGATGGGAATCCAGTTCTCCGATGGCAGCTGCCGGTTTTTTAAGGTGATCGCCACTTCTCAGGCGAACGACTCACGTTGTGCTATCTTCCAGAGGACGATTTCCGCCAGTTCAAATTCCTCCTGCTTCAGCGGAACGATAGTACAATCCACTGCGCAGCCCACCAGATTTCGCGTTCTCTCTGGTAGGTCTGGAATAACTTCGATAGGCATTAGAGCAATCCGACGTCGGCAGTTCGAGATGAACCTGTAGACACAGCAAATCGTGCGCAACAGAACGTTCCACCGAGAAAAGCGGTTTACGTTGATTATCGGCTCCTCTACTACCGCAGTGTGAAACATGTGGCATGCCCGAAGTTCTTCCGTTGTATTCGGCGCCGGTGGCCTCTGTACAGGCCACATCTCCTCCGGTAGCTGTAGGAACTGAGGTCCAGTAAACCAGGGTCCGTCTGAATCCAAGCTAGGTCCCTTGTCCCACTTGGTGAGCAAATCCGCAACGTTATCCTTTGTTGGCACCCAGCGCCATTCGTCGATTTTTGTTTCCAAAAGGATTTCGCCGATTCTAAATGCGACGAACGGCTTATACTTTCGTTGATCGGACCGGATCCAGGATAGTACATTCTGTGAGTCGGTCCAGAGTACACGTTTCGTCACTTTCAGCTCGTGATTGATTTCGACCGAATTTAGTAACCTCGCTCCTAGTACTGCGCCCTGTAGCTCCATGCGAGGGATGGACAGCTGCTTCAGCGGGGCCACCTTCGTTCTGGCGATAGCCAGCGAGCAACGTGGCCCGTCGTCAGTAACAACTCGGAAGAAAGCCACTCCACCATACGCCTGTTCGCTGGCGTCAACGAACACATGAAGCAGTGTATCATAGGCCTCCGGAGGAGCTCCTTGAAGATAGCATTGCGGGATTTTCACGTCTTCGATGAGGGGTAGTTTGAATATCCACTGAGACCACCTTGCATAGCATTCGTCGTCGATGTCTTGATCCCATTCGCAACCAGTGCACCACAACCTCTGCAACAGGATCTTCCCATGGATGGTAAATGGCGGCAGGAACCCAAGCGGGTCGAATAGGCTCATCACACAGCGGAGGGCAATCCGCTTCGTCGGCCATTGTGCATCGATGAGATACGGTAGCAAATCGTCTCGCAGGTTGGTCGAGAAAGTAAAGACATCTTCCTGCGGGCACCATATAATTCCCAGAACGCGCTCAGTCGCGCCATCATTGCCGGCTTGCAATGGCACTCCGCTTCCTTTTCTCCAAGTTCTCGCATGAATAATCTGTAATTCGAGACCCAGCTGTGGAGCTCAAATCCGCCTTGAGCATGCACGTATCGAACCTCCTTTGCCCGAGTAATGGCTTCTTCCACCGTATCGGCACTCTCGAGATAGTCGTCGACATAGTGCCGACGAACTATAGCCTTTGTTGCGTCCGGGAATCGATCCGCATGTTGGGAGGCATTCAAGTTTTTTACATATTGGGCAGATGCGGGTGAGCAGGCCGCGCCAAAAGTGCCCTCATCCATAACGTACACATCTGGTTTGGACGAAGTATCCGTCCGGAAAAGGAAGCACTGCGCATGCTTGTCAGCTTTTCGAATCCGATATTGGTGGTACATCTCGCGTATGTCCGCTTTGAATGCCACCGGTCGTTCCCGAAACTGCTGAATGACCGCTGGTAACACAGTCAAAAGATCCGGTCCAGTGAGTAGCATGGAATTTAGCGACGTACCTTTCACTTGGGCTGCCGCGTCCCACACCAGGCGCACCTTCCCTGGCTTCTTCGGGTTTATGACAACGCTGAGGGGTAGGTACCAGATCTTCCTCGGGTCCGCTACTGCCATCTCCTCTTCCGTCATCTTATGCGCGTACTGTTTTGTCTGTTTTTTCTTAAGGCGTCGCTCAAAACTGCACAACCGGTTCACCGCCATTGGGTAGCTGTCTGGAAGCTCAAAATCGTCCTGCTTCCAAAGCAAGCCCGTCTCGAAACGTCCGTCAACACGCACAGTTGTGCTCTGCAACAGATCCTTGGCTCGACGAACTTCTTCAGATTCTGGTAGCTGACTCACCGTAATAGCAACTTCTTCCACGGCGAAGTACTCGCGCATCACGTCGTGCAGTTCCTTGTTCGTGTCACTGGTGGCAGCCTAGAAACCCTCCGATGTGCGTGTCACCCCTTGGTCCGTATATCGTCCAGCCCAGGGGAGACCTAACCACGATTGGTTCGTTGATATTACCAATACGAGACTCTAGCGGTGCCAGCAAGTGGATGTTATTTAGACCGATAAGAACCCGCGGTTGCTCTCCTAGATGGTCGGCTCTATACAATCCCTGCAGGTGATGATATTCGCTGACGATCTTCTTGAAGTCGATGCGCTGTCTCGGAAGGTACAGCTTCTTCACCGTACGAGCTTCGTTCAAATGACACGCCTCGCTTCCTGATACCTGCAGTGAAAGGCACATAGAACCCACCTCTTGACGTACGATATTGCCGGTCCACTGCAGCGTTAGTGGCTGCGACCGCCCGCAGGTCTTTAGCTCATCGACGAGACTCTCTTCCAAGAGCGTCATAGACGACCCCTCGTCCAAGTAGGCGAACGTTGATACCGACCGTTGGCGATAGTGAAGTGTGATCGGAACTATCCTGAAAATCACCCAGCGCTGCTCAGCGTTGTGGGCGTGATGCTGTTCCGTGGAAGGACAAATCGGCGTTCGCTGAATTACCTCACGGTGTACTAACGGATGGTGATGTTCACGGCACGTCCCAATGTTGCACGTTATTTTGAACGTACACCACCCTTCGTTGTCATTGAGGCACCGTTCGCACAACTTGTACTGCTCCTTCAATTTCAAACGCTCTGCGCAGTTCATTTGCCGAAACTCGTCGCAATTTCTGACACGATGACCTTCCTGCTTGCAGATTCGACAGTGAATTGTGTATTTCACGACTGGATCGCTAGCATCACTATGTGTGTGGACAAATCCTTTCTCCTTTGGCTTCGGTTTATCTCCCTTGTGAGGTGCCATTGCCTTCGGCTCGACGACGAGAATAACTTCGCTGGCCTCCGCTACTATTCTGGACGTAAAATCAGCAAATGTTCGAAGAGTCACACGATTTGTTAATCTCCGATACTGCACCCACTTCCTTTTAATCCCTGTGGGAAGCTTCTTGACGAGTTCCTGGAGTAGGACGGGATTCACCAAGTGATCCCGTAGGTCAGCTGCTTCTTAATGGTCGCACAGCTCTTGGACCGCCATCCCGAATCGAATAAACGTTTCAAGACGATCTGCCCTCGGCGAGTCCACTTTCCTGACTTTATTTAACAGCGCATGGATTAGCTGCTCAGGTCTACCGTACAGAATGCGGAGCGTGTGTATCACTTGTGGCACGAAATTTGGCATGTTTTAGACGACTGCGTACGGACTCTAGGGCTTGTCCCTTCAGGCACTCTCGGAGACGGACGAGATTCTCAACATGACTAAATCCACAAGCTTCCGTCGAGTTGATAAAGCTAGAGTAGAAGAGTGGCCATTCCTCAATTCTTCCACTGAACATGGGTAACCTCTTTGATAATACTTGCCGTGCCGCCCGCTGCGCCTTGGTAGGCCCCGGCCCATCACGGGAAGCGACAGTCGACGCGGATGATCTCTCCTCATTAGACCCGGTCATCACCACCGCCGAATCTTTCGGCGTTTCGGATCCATCTGGAGTCGATTTGCTTCGTGGTACGAGAGGTACCGGGTTGAGTGGTGCCGGGTTTTTATTCACCTTCTTGTTGGTATCCACTGGTTTCGATAAAGGGTTGAAGTGATGTTTAAGCCAATCGTGCACTCTTTGACGGTCCACTTGTCCGAAATCGTTGTCCGGAAACTCTCCACCAACTGCGCCGTCTTCGCATCCTAATTCAAGGGCCATCAACTCGTAGCGGCTACGCTGGAATTTTTCCTGCAAGGCACGCTGCTTCTGTTGAAACTCCACTTCCTTAGCCAGTCGCTTTTGAAGCATCTCCCTCTCCTGAGCAAGTCTCTTTTCCTGCAGCTCCTTTTCCTGCTCAAATTGCTTCAGTGCCAGTGCCTGCTCAATCTCCAACTGCTTCTTGCGAATCAATTTGTCTTCCTCCAACTGCCTTTCCTTCATCGCCAGTTCTTCTTTCATTCGGTGCATTTCCAATTCCAAACGCGATGTGGAACGCTTGCTGGCACTCCACGCAACCGACATTCCATCATCCCCTAAGAGGCTCGGCAGAGGTAACGGGTTCGGCGTAAGCCCCGTCACGCTAGCGCTCCCAGAACTTTTCCCCTTTTTCTCCCTCTTTGCGAAACAGGCCATACATCGGAACTCGCGGTTCTCTACACCGGGTGATTCCCCCACGCAACCAAAGTGGAACTAGGATCCGCAATCGTCGCAGGCCACCATCTGATCGTCGTCCGTTTGAATCAGCTCAAACTAGAAATTAATTAATTTTATTAATCAAGGAAATTAGATAACTAACGCATATTTACAGATTTAGTTTCTGCTCCTGTTCTGCGAAAAATGCGCTCCGGACGTACAATTATTTCTGCCTCTGCTTTCTGCTACGTAAGTAAGGTTTGTAGGTAAATTGTCAAGTCAAGACAATGACTGACCAAAAACAATTACCGTTTCCGCCTTCGTTGAACTGTCAGTTCTCCATCCCCGTTGTATAGTTGGGATCCATTTGCTTGATATTGATAAAATTGTTGGTGTGGCCGTTAGAATTTATCATCAAAGGCAACCATCGGGCATTTTTAACAATGATTTAATCCTCTATCAAAAAGGAATCGTCTCTAGAGTAAACCTGTTTCAGCTGTCTTGACTGCCGTTTCGGCCATAGGGTACATAGATGAACTTAATTGAAGTTAGGCCCTGGTAGAAGCTGTTCTAGATGAAATGGGTATCCGTTTGTCGTCTACAACTTCTTGATTTAATCCGTGTATCACCAGTTTTATGTATGACATCCTCTCACTAGTTTCATTTGTGAGTAAACAAAGTATTGACCCGAGTAGTAAACCTTAGAAACGATTGGCAAAATGTCAACACTCAACAGTGATACCGTTTTGTATTATATTGTTTGTGTCCTACTTGTCAAAGTGTGTCTTAATGTGCCGAACAGTGTGTCATGCTGTGTTTCGGCACAGTGTGCAGAGTTGATTGCCCCTTGCAATATCTGAAAAATCTGTATATTTTTGAAAAAATCTGTAGTCTGTATATACAGATATCTGTTTCAAAATATTAGAAAAAATCTGTATGATTACAGATAAATCTGTATATGTGGCATCACTGACTACACAGCTGACCGGTGATCGAGGGAGATCAGACACTGGTAGTGTGAGTATACTGGCACTTCGGCTCGGTGAGAGAAGTAGAGAGACAATTTTCCATTACTAAGACTCCTTTAATGCAAACGATGTGCTTGCTTCCAGTCAAGCTGCATTGACGGCATTACGTTTTCGGGATTACATTGTTTAACAGGATGAAGCCCCCTTTACTTCCACCCATTAATCCTTCGCCAGTTGAGCAATCTACAAATGTCCTCCGTAACGGTTATTGCATCTTATAAACAATCTCCAAAGTGTCTATTAATAACCACCTGCCAAGCGAGCGTTTGATCCCCACCTCCAAGTGATGTCTAAATATAATCCCGAATCTCGTGAGATCTCCAAATACAAGCCAAGGAACGCCAGCGCGAAAGGGAACCTGTTTTCGGCTTACGGCGCAACATGCTCCTTGAAACATTTTCCTATGTGTGTCCTATGCCGAGTTTGGCTCTTCCGCGTCAGGGCCGGACAGAAGTGGAGATAATTTAATTTTATCACCACATCCTTGGGAACCGTTTTTCTTTTCTGCTTTGTTAGTGACACCATTAGCCACCTACCAAAGGGCGGCACAGCGCGGTGGTGTGATGATGTGGCGACCGACCGGATTCGGATTCACTCAACGCTCCCGGTTGATGGCGATGAACAGGATCACAATTTCATCTCGACGAGCTGTTGTGTGTATATGTATGTGATGTGCACACCGGAAAAAGGTCCAAAACACTTCCCGCTCCCTTCTCGGCTACCCACCGTCCTAATCGCATCACTTTGGAAATAGCTTTGAGAGCCGTATCGGATGAAACATGGTGCGAAAAAAAGGGGACACTTCCCCCGTCGATATATAGAACACCGGAGGGAAAAAGGTCACTGATGTACCGAGATCTTCCACAAACGGGTATTCTGTTCAATGCTTCACGCCTTTGCACAGCACCGTCAGTCGTAGGACCAGGAACAAGAAGGACAAAGTCTAACTAACGGTTTTGAAAAGTTTTGTTTTCTGTTGTTGACGGTGGGAAATGACTCCATTTTCCGACGGGTCGGTCTTCGACGGGTAGCTGCCTTTTGTTTTTTATCGAACTATGTGTGAGTGAAAGAAGAAGAAAACGAAAAGCAACAGCATCGGGTTCAGCAGTAACGAGCACTAGAATGGCAATTTCGAGACCGTGTCCATTCTGCTGGCTAGTGAGCTGCTCCGTGACAGAGAGTGTATGTATCCGAAAATGTTTCTTTATTTTTTTTACTAACCTCCTCGAAGGTTGTGCTGTCTTGATAGAGAGTGATAAGGGTTAAATATGGCATACTGTTTTTTTTTTTGTCAAGAACCAGACATTTGTTGGTACTTAATAGGGGATCAGTACTTTTCCCAATCTAACTTTCCGATGATGCTACCGGCTGCGTTCCGTTTGCGAGATTAGCTGTTTTTGCTCACAACGATCGGTCAGTAGATTAATGGTTTGATAAGTTTGGTTTGGCCAGTCCATTACGTGGACCGGGCAAAATTGTACCCACATTTTAATCACTTTTTGCGTGAATCTGACAGCAAATGGATAGATATCCTGTCATGGTTTAAAAACCGGCCGGAACGGTAATGAGTTTGTGATTCATTTGCAACCAGAGATGGGTTGATAAATAAAATAAATGTGACTGGATAAATTGAAACATTTGACAGTATTGGATTTCAGCTACAGATGATTACAGGAAGATTGATTTTGTTTTCCTATCTGAGCTTCCGTTATGGAATGAATCAGTTTCCTATCACTCGAACTTTGGAACAATATTTGTGGGGTCTTCTTGAAAAATATGGTATTCATAGCTTCATTTGAGCACTTCCAGGCAAAATAGCGGAACAATTTTTTTATCGATCTTCTCCGGTTTGTATGACACTTTGCGTAATTGTTTGTTATGGACAATGATTCACATTTTTGCAAAAATTCGGCTATTGATCCAATGTTAAATTACCAAAATGGCATCAAATAATAAAAAAAAAATAAGTGTGGAAACGGCATTTCTGATGGAAATGACGTTTGAGACAAAGTTTTAGAGAAAATTAATGTCTCTCTGGGAAAAATAAACAAAACTTATACATTTATTTTAAGTTAAAATATTTAAAAAAAAATAGCATCCCAAATATTTTAAAATTTTCTTGCCCGTTTTTTTTTATAACAAAGGTTAAGAAAAAATTCAAACTTTAAGAGTATTAAAATCCATAGACACTTTTTTAATGTAGTTCGCTTATTACATCGCGTTAGTTTTACGGCGCCGATAATTCATTGTTCTTTGTTTGTAATAAAATTCACTTAATTTTAAGTCTAGTAGGAGTTGGGCCGAATACTCGCAGCTTACCCGAGGTTAGAGGGGTACATTGTCGAAGGATAGGAAAAGGGGAGGAGCTTAGGGGTAGGGTTTCGTTGTCTCATCAGAGCAATGTCGCCAGTATGAACGGTAGTGTGATTCTAGATTCGTCTGGAGTTAGACCGGCTATGGTGAACGTTATCTATTAAATTGACAGTCCGCGTAATCGCTGGTTAGAGATTCTGTCAACACTTAAGTATTATTAAGAACTAATCAAATCCTTGAGACATAATATGGTATTAGGATGCATGATATAGTAAAGACTAAATCAAAAATAATTTATATGCTCATTATTCTTTAAAAATCCATCCATTCAAACTTGCCCGATTCTTTGCTTTTAAATATTTTCAAATAGGTTACAGTTATAAAAAGCATTGTAAAAATGTATTTTTTACAAAAGGCTTAACTCCATCTTTAAAACGCTGTACGGAACATCAAACTTTTTGGACGCATTGTGAAAATACTTTTCTTAGCTTTTTTATGGTTATGGGACATCAATTTGATTTCAATAAATAGTACTATTTTCGCTACAGTTGAAAACTGTAAACACCCACTAGCGAAAATCGATTTTACTCTCTTTCTAAACGTTATACATAGCATCGGAAGACGTGCGTTTGAATCGCACAATGAAACGCTATAATGCGCACTACTTCCGATACTAAGTAAAGTCAGGAATCCTTATTGCCAATGTAACGGGGGCGTGAATAAGCAACCGCTAATAAGGATACCCACAGCTTATAGGATTTTCACTAATAGGGGCTGTGGTGGATTATCTCATTTGTTTCAATATATAGAGCTATACTGTCTAGGACAAAGTTGTTGTGCTGGGATAGACTAACAAGCTTATGTCATTGGATTCAGGTTTAGTTGGGAACTACGTCACGCTTCACTTTTATGTTACTTATGACGGGCGCTATAATATATGGATCATAGGTACAACATAGAATATTTCGTGATCCTGGTCATATAGAAAGTTACTGACTTCAGCAAAGTTGTTCAAGTGACCAAGTCCTTTCGGATGGTTGTCATTTTAGTTCAGTAACTATCTATATGGCCATTATCACGAAATATTCTATGTTGGACCTAAAGGGTGATACGGTCAAAATTTGGTCAAGGGAAAACGCGTGTAAATCGGTGAAATCGTTTATTTAAAAAATCAAATTAAATTTCTTTTTCAAGTTCAATTAGTATAAAATTCAGGAAAAATATTCAGTTAGGCTTCCGCTTTTCCAAATCCGAATTGCCGGGCCTTACGCTTGACCCTTGCCATCAGATTTTGTACAGCCACCTTGTCCACCTTCTTCGCCGCAGAAAGCCAGTTTGCCTTGAACTGCTGCTCGCCCTTAGCAGTTTTTTTGGTCTTCTTTAGGTTCCGCTTGACAATAGCCCAGTATTTCTCAATTGGGTGGAGCTCTGGCGTGTTGGGAGGGTTCTTGTCCTTGGGAACCACCTGCACGTTGTTGGCGGCGTACCACTCCATGGCCTTTTTACCGTAATGGCAAGATGCCAAATCCGGCCAAAACAGTACGGAAC